TTTTATTATAAATATTTTTTTTATTGTAATTCTGATTTTAAAAGATTTTTTTTAAACATAAATTTCTATTAAGAAACCAATTTATCCCTTTTAACTTTTTTGTCAAAAGTAAATATAGTTCACTTTGCAACAATCCTAACAGGATCTCCTCGGTATCCTTAAATTTTTTTACCTCAGATATCTTTTATATGATTTAGGTTAATACTAAAAGTTAGAATATCTCGTTCATTGGCTCTAAACATGTACATTATATGCTCATTTGTCGTTAGAAAGATTGAAGCAACAATATGTTTTATGTCTTATGTCCAACATGCAGTTTAATTTTTATGACTTAATCTATGAACCAAATTGTATTGTGCAAAAACAATACGAGAAGTTTGAGTGTATTTATTATGTAATAAAAAAATTTCTGAATACAATAGATTTTTTTTCTTTACCAAAAGAACATATATTTTCAAAATATTGGATCTATCAAAATAAAATTACAATTTTACCCTTTTTAGAAAAAAGTTAATTTTTTTGTGAGTCCAATATCTTACAGCCTACCTGTAAAGAGATTCCTGTGACTAATTTGTCTTCATGGCGCAGGTATGCTATACGGAACAGAAACTTTGTATGTATCCAACTTTTAAAATAATGCATACAAATTGACAAATTTATTATATATGAAAATTTGTTATTAAATAGATATGGATATTAATATTGTATAATTTATTTTTCCTCTTTGGAATTTTATCTTTTAATGATTTTATTTCAAAAAGTAATCATAAAAAGGAAAAAAAAAATACTCCCACTTAACTTAAAAGATAAACGAAAAGAAAATAAAGTTTTATATACTTAAATATAAATGAATTTTGTTATTTTAGAACTCTTAGATAATGACAAGAGTTCCATAAATATAATAGAGAGTAATTTAAAAACATTAAATAAATCTATCAATTATTTATAACTACTCAATTCACTAATAATTTACTCTTATCAACATAGCTCATTGTATTATATCATCTTTTTAAGTATTTAAATTTAATTAATTGTTTACTATAAAACTAAATATTAATAAACTCAAAAAACATTTATTTTATAAATATGTTTTATAAGTTTAATTATATTTTTGAACAATTTTTTAATTATTTTATTATATTAAAAAAAGTAAACAAATGGCATACATATGCTTCCCTGCTTTTTAATAAAAAAACTTAACTATATTATATATTTGAAGTAAATATAGAATTTAATGTATATATATATAACTGGATGATAACACCTTTCCATCATCGATTACCCTTAAATTATAACATACAAAAATTCATTACTAACTGAAAATTAGGTGTACACATTGTTTATTTGCAATGAAATTAACCATAACTGTAATAATTAAATGTCATCAATAATGTTGATGTTCTCCTCATATGGGTTTGTGAAAATAAGGAAGAAATTAAAAAAAGTTATATAATTGACCATTAACACTTTGTATTATGATAATTAAGTTGGGTTCCTAGACAAAGAATGCATCAAAACAGTTAAGTTGTCTTAAGGCATTCTGTCTATAGAAAGGTCCAACATTATGATAGAAAAAACTTTAAACCATGATGTTTGGGAACATAATTGATTTTTTTAAGGTAAAAGATATGGGATGATATAAGTCACGCAGTGAAAATCTGTTGCATAGTAACACAAAAGTAATTAAATATAAAAAGAAAATTTTATGAATTAAATAATATAATAAAATACAAATTTTAACTGTCATGTAAACTGAATCTCTTACCTTAACCATAATAAAAAGTTGTTACACTCGAGTTGACAAATTTAGAGCTGAAAATTAAAAAAATTGTGAAACAAATACCTAAATACATGGCACAGTACTTACAGTCAATCATAGTGTATAGGTAGTGAAGTGAATGCTTGACTTGAAAAGGGAAAAAACAAAATAAATGTTAATGAAAAATTATGTATAAAACTTCACTTTTATACAATTTTCTAAGGTCTGAGATTTTTAATTTCATTTTTTACCTCCTGAATAGACTATTTTAGTACCAAGGATGTCTTTAAATTACGAAAAGTTATAAACAATATTATAATATTGTCTGTCTATTTTTTTGTTAAGTGCGATGGAATTTTTTTTTGGACATTAAACACTAGAATATAAAATTTGACTAATAAAAATCAGATGACAAGTAACAACACAGATACAAATAAAAATTATATATCTTAAGAATATTATTTATCATTTTTTATTCTTATTATACTACACATTAATCATTTAAACCAAAATATTGTCATTAAAAACATATTACATACACTTAATGACGGTGATTATGTATGTGTCTGAGTTATTTTCCCTCTTTAAATATTTTGGTACTCCTTAAATAATGAAATTAAAATAAACATTAAAAAACAAGCTATGTCTAAAGTAAGTGCATTTTGGAAATGTTAGAGTTTTGGATTGCACAAAGGTGAAAAATAAATATGAGTTAGAGTTTCTCTCTAAGGCTTAGAAGGTGGTGGGAGGTGGAGTTGAGTTAGGGTTTTTCTCTAAGGCTTAAAAGGTGGTGGGAGGTGGAGAGAGATAAATGAACCATGAGAAAAAAATATCAAAAAGTTTTAAGGCAACAAAATTACATAAATTTTAATAGGTGATATTTTTGAATGGTGTTAGTGCTAATTTAAAAAGATATTAAATTAATTCTATTTAATAAGTATTGTGACTCAATTGAGTAAAAAAATATAAAGAGCAATGTGAATCATAAAGTTAAATATTGTGATCAAATTATTAAGTATAAGTCAAATTTATTTATTTTATATATAATTTCAAACTCATTAATTTGAAATTTTATTTCTCGTTCTTATCATATTGTATCTATGTTCCTATTATCCCTCTATCGTTTTATTAGAAGTCTCACATCGACTAGAGATAATATCAATTTATAATATATAAGTGGATGTAAACCTCATTTTATTAGCCGGTTTTATGAGATTGAGTTATGTTGAAAGTCTATTTCTTAACATAGTATCAAAACTATGATTAGAGTCTATCATAACGATATTTGTTGTTTGTTGGACATGTTGTTCTATCCGCTATCGGATCACCTATTAATGTCTAGTGAGTGCAAACGTCACCTTACAAACCAATTCTTTTAAATAAAAATCATAATAAATAAAACATAATATTATTAAGTAATCAATATAAAAATTATATATATTTTTCTTTTAAAGCATCAAGATTGAAATTATAATCATGTAAATATATCAAATAATAATTAGATAATTGTCAAATAAATATAAAAAATGATTATGATAAGAACAATTATTTTATACATAAGAGATGACATATTTTATAATAAAAACAAGATATGAAAAAGAAAAGAATGAACCTTTAGTTAACAAAATGGATATAATCTTCTTTATAATAAAACAAGTTCGAAAAACTTAATTTCAAATAATTGAAACACATTTTAAAAAATATTCAAGATAGAAATCTTTATAAAAAATCTAGAAAACCTATAAAAAATCTAGAAAACCTGTAAAAAATTTGATATATGTAGAATATATAGTACTTGTTTTATAGTATTTTTAACATATTATTTAATTGAAAGGGGAAAATAAAGAAATTTATATTTAATTTTTTGTGCTTAAAATACATTCTGTTTTTTCATAAGAGTCCTCAAACATTTTTACAAACACGAAAGAGTCATATAACTAAATTCATTATAAAAGTCCATATTTAGAAATTAATTTATTTCAACTCAGTTTAAATTTAACTTGAGAGGCAAAATCAAATTTAAGAAAAAAACCAATAGTTAAGTTTAGGGTAAACTTTGCACAAACATGAGCATCCTAATGCACATTCTCTAAATTATTATTTTTATAACAATTGTATATCCCTGGAGACAGAAGTTTGAAGTTTAATTAAGAATAATGGTTTTAATTATGTACAAAGTTAAACGCCAGCAAGTTTATACAATACAAAGAATAAAAAAATTATATATGTTGTAAGAAAAAAAAAACATTGACATTAGGTTTTCTTTCAAAGTACGCTTTGAGGGAGTAAGAAGTAATTTTGAAGTGTTTCTGCGAGAGTGTAGGAATGCTGCAAAACCTACTCGGTGCTAACCAATCACCTTTGACGATAAAGCGAATTTTCATTACACAATTAAGCAGCGACAAGATCTAAGTGGAAGCGAATGAAAATGCATGAATAATTTGTTTTGGTTCGATTCGGCCAAAGTTGAAACGAACCAATCTTCACGCGAGTGTTGGAAGTTTTTGTTATCATACACTGTCCGACAAAACATTTTGAAATTCAATAACTCCGAGTCTGAAGAAAGTAAAGAAGAAACCAGTTAGTTGGAACTTCATAATATGTATGGGAATAGATCCCGAAATCCCACAGTAACATCATAGCATAGTGGTGTGTTCCTTTAACCTTTTTATTACCACTTTTAAGGAAGATCTAACATGTTTCGGCCACGTGGAGCCAATGACATCTACTCATGTTTCTTTTTTTCCTCAGCGACAACGCCTGCCCACAACCATGAACAAGATTAACTAATTAATTATCTCACTAAATTTATTTTTTATTTTTTCTGTTTAATATAAATAGGACAAATGCATAGTCTCCACCACACAATGTCTTCACTATCTTCTATCACTTTTCTTACCACCACTTATGCAATCTGCACTGACATAAGCACGTTTAAAAAATCCTTCATTTACCCTTGTTTAATCTAATATTGTATAATTTACAACATTGTTTAATAGATTTTGTATTAATTTATGATAATAATTTTGTTTATATTGTGGGTGCTGGGACTGTTTTCTATTTTCTCAAAGAATAATAATATTAGAATATTGGTTACTAAAAAAGTAATTTTCAAATGTTAATAGTTAATAATGTTACAGTTTTTATATTTGGGTAATTTTATGGCATGTTTGGCGGGTACACAGATAATAAGCCAACCCACCCTTTCTCTTACCAATGAGAAGAGTCTCCCAAAGGGAAAAAAATCAAAATAAATAAGAAAAGAAGCTTAGAAACTGAAAGAGAGAGAAAATAGAGAGAGAAAATAGAGAGAGAAAGAGAGCAACTAATACTGTGGAAGAAACATAGAGGCAGTGTATGAGTGAGTGACTGAGAGAGAAAGAGAGAGAAAATCCAAACCAGTTTCTCACTCTTTTGATCGGAACCTCTCATTCCTGCCTTCAGGTTGAGACCCTTTTTTCTTCTCTTTGGTCCGTACAATGGAGCGGTACGGCCGGGCCAGCGAAGGGTCGCAGTCTGATCCGTCGCCGGAATGGACCGTGGCCGGCGCCGACGCCGGCATCGAAGGTGACTCTATCTACATTATCTGTTATTCCTTTCACGATTCTCGATTTGCGCTGAATAATGCAGAGTGTGGTAATAATGGAAGTAGGTTTGATCTTGATTTCGCTAATAATGCAGAGTCCTCGTGGCAACACGGATTGGCAGCTGCCGAATCGTACCCTCTGCGACCCGATGAGGCTGATTGTATCTATTATCTGAGGACGGGATTTTGCGGTTACGGCACACGGTGTCGTTTCAACCATCCCCGTGACCGTGCTGCGGTAATAAATAAATCTGCTTCTTCTTTTTCTTTCTAGTTTCTCAGGGTTTCTGGTTCGTTGCTTACTCCTGTGTAAGTGTGTGTCTCCAATTTCGCCTTTGATCTTGGCTTTGTGCAGTTCGGTTTGTTGAATTTTACTTGTGTTGTGGGTTAATCGAACTCGGTTGGGCGAGATTTAGATGTCTGCATTGGACACTGTGATCGAATGATGTTTCCTAAGTTGAAAATACTTCTGCATGTTTTGTTGCTTAGGTCATTGGAGCTGCGGCGAGGACTGGAGGGGAGTTTCCGGAGCGCGTGGGGCAGCCTGTGTGCCAGGTTTTTTAATATGGCTTTCATTCATAGATTCTTTGCTGCACCTGTATTAAATGGTTACATTTGATTGGTGATACTGTAAATGCAATCACTTTATGTTTTACAAAATGACGTGTTCTGGTGTTTCTTATAATAAATGTCGAGGTTTGGGTGAAAATTGAGATTGACTTCTATTTTTGTTCTGGTTGTCTTCAATGCTGGTGGCCTTCCTTATGTGTTGGTTGTATTGCATATGCTCGTGGTTGAACTGCAGTACTATATGAGGACGGGATCATGCAAGTTTGGTGCATCCTGCAAGTACCACCATCCTAGGCAGGCGGCAGGCAATGCTACCCCTGTGCCACTAAATTATTATGGATATCCGTTGCGAGTGGTCTGTATCGGTCTATGTTTATTGCGTAATATTATGTGATCTTTGTGAATGTTGGGATCATATTTTCTTAATGAGGATGGAAGTTTGATTCAAACTATTTTTCATGATTAATAACAGGGTGAGAAAGAGTGTTCCTATTATGTGAAAACTGGACAGTGCAAATTTGGTGCAACTTGTAAATTCCACCATCCCCAACCTGCAGGTGTCCAAGTTATTGCACCATCACCGGTTCCCGCAGTTTCACATCTGCCTGTTCCGGTACCTTCACCGGTATATCCAACTGTACAGCCCCAATCTGGTCCTTCGCAACAACAATATGGTGTACTTGTTGCAAGGCCTCCTATGCTGCCTGGCTCAGTAGTTCAGGGTCCGTATGGGCCTATGGTGGTGTCTCCTGCCATGGTCCCTTTTTCAGGCTGGGGTCCTTATCAGGTAGGTCCACTATGCGCTGCTTACTCAAGTTATGTGCACATTTACTAAATCTCTTAAGCACTTGGTGCAGGCTCCTGCAACAACCCCTGTAATGCCATCTAGCTCTGCGTCTAATGTTGGTTCAACACAGCTTTATGGGATAACCCCACTACCTTCGTCGGCAGCTACTTTTACTGGACCTTATCAGCCTTCTGGTCCCTCAGTTGGTCCTTCAGGTGCTATTCAGAAGGAGCATCCATTTCCAGAAAGACCTGATCAACCAGAATGTCATTATTACATGAAAACAGGGGAGTGCAAATTTGGTCCATCTTGCAGATATCATCATCCACCAGACAAGGGAGCACCTAAAGCAAATGTAATCCTTAGTCCTGTGGGTCTTCCTTTGCGTCCGGTAATTTCAAGTTCTTTGTTCTTTGGTGCTTTATACTGGGTTGTCATAAAAATGGGATCACAGTAGGAACCGTTTTTTCGTTCTTATTTTATGCTAGCTCTTTTTTAGGACACCTTTCTATTTTAATGTATTATGCATATTATGCATTCATGTTGGACTACACATTCTGCTGATATTTAGAATCGCATTAATGTTGGACTACACATTATGCATTCATGTTGGACTACACATTATACATTCATGTTGGACTACTCTGTACAACATCCATTACAAGTGTGCTTCTGGATCCTTCTTTAGGTTTAGGTTTTGTTAAATTGTAGTGTATCGCCGTAATACACTTATATCTGTATGTTAACTCCTTTTTCAATTCTCGTTCTAGGGATATGATCTTTGACTGGCCAAGGAATATTTTCTTATACAAACTCTTGAATGATTGAAACTTTTGTTCTCATCTTTAAAATTGTATGTACTAAAACATAACACTTATAATTGAGATAATGTAATACTTCTCTGATTAGTCTCTCTTGATGAGTTACTTGTCCTTGAAGAATGGACGAACCAAAAGCCTACTGACACCTAGCGCTAAAATTTTATTTCATCAAAAGAGAGTGGGCAGGGAAGCAAGGATCAATAACCAGATAATCCCTAGTCTCATATTAATATATATGCCAAAATTATTTCTTATTAATAGGTTCGATTATTTTGTTTATAGTTTTATTGAATTTTAAATATAGTCCTTGTACTTAAAATTTCAGAATAGATTATTGGTTTTCCGCTAGTTGCCAGCATTTAGACTCTGTTTGTGGATCTTTTCGGTCATGTGCAAGCCATTTTGCCGTTACAACTTATACAGGTTTCAGGGACACCAAGTACAAAATTTTATAATTAGGAGGGATTCAATTAAAAACTAAAAAAGTTTTTGGAACTTATAATGTATTAGAACTCAATGAACATTATCATTTTACACCTTTTTTTTTTTACTTAGTTTAAATATAGAATCAAGTTCTTTTCAGTTACATGTTCGACATGGTGTTTCTAAATGCAGAATAATTTATTAAACCTTATACACCGCCATGACATCAATGTTTTCATTGTGTGATTTATATGTCACGTGCTATTTCTTACTTATTTTGATTCTTATTGGATGTTTATTATATACATTCTCTGAAGCTATTTTTCGGTCTATTGGAGTATTCCGTGTTATTTTCTTAGTTTGTATGCTTGAAATTTATCTATATTATGAAATGTGTTTCTAATATTAAGTTGTGATTCAAGAACCATAAGAGTATTGTGTGGGCTTTGGCTTTGTGTGGAATTGGTTGACGTTGTTTGTATTTTCCTTTAACCTTTGTCGATGCCACAAATTTCTGGTTATGTGCTCTGTTATCTGTGGTTCTCCTCCTTAGAGCTATGTTCTCATGCTAGCTTGAGGTGTTCCAACCTTATTTCTATTGGTAATTTCATATTTCATTCTTGTGATTTTGGATTAGGGGCGATCTCTATTTTCCATGCACAAAACAGATGTTGATGTTTGATGGCATGCTTCCTCGTGTTATTTTACGAGAACATATTCCGGTCTTCGTAGGCTAGACGTTAATGATCTTTTTGGCTATTATTTTTCAGTCCGAAGTGCTGTGGCATTTTATTTTGTTTTCTGGACCGGTTGAAGAATATACAAGTATTTGTTTGTACTCATTATGAATTTATTTGTTTAAAGGACTGTTGATGCAATGATAAATCTGCCTATTCTGTTTTAATTTTAAATTGTCTGACTTTCCTGAATTCTTAATTGTTAATTGTTCGACTTTGTGTTTGATAATCAGGGGGCACCGCCTTGCACTCATTATACACAGCGTGGAGTTTGCAAATTTGGTTCTGCATGCAAATTTGATCATCCTATGGGATCACTTAGCTACAGTCCATCTGCCTCTTCCCTGGCTGACATGCCAGTTGCACCCTATCCTGTGGGTTCCTCAATCGGTACTCTTGCTCCGTCATCTTCATCCTCAGAGTTGCGGCCTGAACTTGGTGCAGGAGTCAGTAAGGAGTCTGTTTCGTCCAGAATGTCTTCAATGAGCACATCAACCGGATCAGTTGGTTTGACCTTGTCAAGCGTTGGACCCATTTCTCATTCAAGCACTCAACCATCTGCTCAGAGTTCCAGTTCTTCAGCAACTACCAGTGCTACCACAAGTAGCACTGTCTCTCACACCTCAAGCTAAGCAATGTGAATGAATTCCTCATTATCACTCCTTTTTATCTCAATTTTTCAACCGGCCATCATCACTCAAGGAGGTTCTCAAAATAGGTTTTATTTTTCAATTAATCCAGTTCCACATTCAGGTCTAGCACACACTTTCCCACCAATTGTCTGTGTCCATATAATCTTTCTGTGGCCATCCTTTTTATCTTGAATAAACCATGGCCAACCTTGAGAGTTTTAGCAACCCATACACGCACCTTGCTTTTGGATAACTTCAAAAGTATCTGCAACTCCATCATGCACATGTCCATTCACATCTCCAATTTTAGTAGTTTCTGGTGCTTATTTATGCTTCAATCTTTTTTGATGAGAAAAATTCTGCTCGGAGTTTCATTGACCATGTGTAATCCCTCTTCACATGAACCCCTTTTGCATTTGGGAATATATCCAAATCCTTTCCTGGAAGGTCCTGTTTGCCACCGTTCCCAAGTTATCCAAGGTTTGACGTGAAGAGTAGTAATCAGGAGACTACAATGAGGCTTCACATTGCTATCTTTTATGAATTTAGATACACGGTGATGTTGTGACAAGTAAAATGCTTGACTTGGTACTTAAGTTTATTACAGAATACATATATGAAGAAAGACATTTAAATTAACACATTTCAAAGTCCAATAATCTTTTTTTCACTGTCATTTTACCTGGTCGAGCTTTCCTGGGGGATCAGGTATCTTTCTGGCGGATTTCCTTTTGATCACCCCTCCCCCATTAGATTCGGATATGTTTATTGTAAGATGATTGTAGTTATCAATAGAATACACTTTAGTCGAGCTAACGAGCGCAGCGCAGCGTGGCACTTGACAGAACAACGCAGTTCAGAGTCCGATATAAGGTACACGTGTTCTTATTTCTTGGCCGCTTCAAAGTTGAAGGACAGGTGTACTGCACCTTCCCTGACCAACCGAACCGCCGTAACATTGAAAAAAACCTCAATTAATCAAATATGAAACTGGTCTCTTCAGAGTTTATTATCCTGTCTAAAGGGTGTTTTTTTGGGTGGTTCTGTTGGTAAAAGCTAGGTCAGCCTTTGAACTAGAATTAATGTCGTCCAATTATTTGTTTTAGAAAACTATGTTGTTTTTCCAATTTTTTAATCAAACTTGGTTTTTCCTTATTCTATTACGAAGGTATCTACTTGTACTCAGTATCTCTGTAATTGGATGGCAGGATTTTTATCAACGATACTGGACAACTAACAAGATGAAAAAAATTAATCAGATGGGAGTAGTTTTGATGGGGACTTCAAAGTATTTCTAATGGTCCCCTTTAGGGTTCTTATTAACAAAATATTATACGTATTCTGGGTTCTTCGAACATGAGTCCATTAAAATTGAGAAAACATATATTAAATAAACTTTTTAACTTTACAGAAAAATGTTTTCATTTTTTTATTAAATGTATTAAATAATGTTTTCATTAGTAAAAAAGTATTCGAAAAGAAAATAATGAAAAATACTGAGTGGGATAAGTATTTTTAATATGAGGACCAAATTGTCATAGCTCAATTGAAGCTCAATATTGAAGCCTTTTTCTTTCCTCAGTATCGAGTCATCCTTGTGTAGTTGTGCTTCCATTCTATTTTTCATTATGTTAAATGGTGCCTTTTTGGTATTATATTATGCACACAAAAATTCCATCCTTCTCTCTTTCTTATGGATTCAATTTGTGTTGTTTTTATAGATGTAATGATAAATATAAATGTACATTGACCCGTATTTTGTTTAAGTTTGTTTTTCTTGTATTTCTAAAGTTTTTTGTCATAGTATCAAAGCTTCCACAAGTGTTTTGAACTTCAAGAAGAGGTTTAACATAGTCAACAGGTAGTTTACAAGTTCAAATCAATGTGGGAGGAACTTGATCAGTTATCTCCATATTCATGTTGAATTAAGAGGTATCATCGACATGATCTCGTAATTCTCATTTTCGAAGGGTTTGATTTTTCTTTGTAGTTTGTTCTCAAATCCTACTCATGGATCTTCATGTTCAACTAAGAAGTATTATCAACGTGATTTAACAATTCGCCTCTTCAAAAGGCTTGATGTATGCTTATATGTTGTAATATATTTATAAAGGTAGTTGCCACTTACTTAAATACATGTATAAAATAATATTTAAACTTGAATTGATAATTATGATATGAAGGTTTAACACAACAAGAAAAATATATATTTTGTTAAGATGTGAAGGAAATCTTGTCAAAACGTAAAAGAAGATGTAAATATAAGAGATACAAACATAAGTTATAATTTACTATGAATGAAACAATAAAAATGTAAATATTAATTTAAATTATCCAACGAAGAAGAATAGATTGTGAAGGTAATATGTAACAATTATAATATTAATACGTGATTCATACACTTGTAAGAACCTAGGAAATATGGTAATAGAGTATAGAGAAGTATTAAAATAAAGAAAATGAGTTTTTTGGTGTTAAAATACATCAACAGTGTAAATAGGAATTTTTAAACACTCAGTTCATTATCTTAAAACTGTCTATTTCTCTAGAACCATTTTCTCTACTCTTCCTCTCTCTTTTCTCTAGATTTCTTCCATCTCACTCCAATTGTTCAACAATTAGATTGTGCTTAAACAATCCTAGTGTCAAGAGCTTCCATTACACCGATCAATTTCTTGTTTTAGAGCCGGTAAGTTGTCTCTCTTTGATTCTTGAAATTTCTACAATTTCTGGTGCATGCAAACACTGTTCGGTTTTCATGTGTTCATCGACTCTTCATCTTGGTTTTGATTTTTGTTTCTGGTTCGGTGGTTGGTTTCCTTTCACTGATCCAAAGTCTGTAGGCTGTCTTAGGATCACTGGTGGTTTAACAGAACTGTGAAGAAGTTGAAAATTTGTGAAGTTGCTTTGAGGTAAGGGAAGCTAGTTAATCTAATTATTTGGTTGATAATGTATGAAAATGATGTTTGATGGCTTTGCATGTGTGTGAAACTGAATGATTGTGTGTTCGGTATTATTATTGAAGACTATTAAGTGTTGTATTCATGTTGATTGTGATTCTGCATAATTCTGGTTCAGTGGCCGAGTGATATTGGGAGGAAGTGTGGTAGTAAAGATGGATAAATTGTGTTCGGTGTGAGTTTGGTCTGTATAATATAAATTGGGAGGATTAGAAGTTGGGAAGAATGAAGGAAATTGGTAAAGAGTAGTGTTGATCATAATTCTGCAGTCATTCTGCAGAATTATGCAGTTCGCTGAGGGTCCTTCGTTGACCGTTCGACTTTCTTCTTGTGTTTAACTAAGTTCTGCTTAGGTGGGACTTCAATTAATGATCGATCGGTCTTGTACTGGTAGTTGATTTAAAAGGCGTTCGGTCTAGTATTTGTATTGGTATTCGTTCTTAACTATGTTCGACCTCTCATGGATCTTACCTTTTAATGACCTTTCGGTTACTTTAGTGATCGGTCCTACCTGAGTATTTTGTCTAAGTCCAGAGTGTTAGGTCTTAGTGGGGTGTGTGGCCTCTTAGTAGCGATCGGTCTTAGTGGGGTGTGTGGCTTCTTAGTAGCGATCAGTCTTAGTGAGGTGTGTGGCCTCTTAGTAGCGATCGGTCTTGGTGGGGTGTGTGGTCTCTTAATATTATTAAGTCTTATACTAGTGCTAGGTCTTGTACTAGTGCTCGGTCTCATAAGAGTAATCGGTCTTATATTAGTATTCGGTATCAACTCTAAGCGTTCGGCCTAAGCTATAGGTGCTTGACCCTCTCTTCAGCTGTACCTAGTATTGAATGATCGGTCTCCAACATTCACAAGGTATTCGGTCTTATATTTATTCCAGTGTGCTATTTTAACTAATTGTTCTAATTGCTTTGATGACTTATGTAAGCATTATTATAATGGTGTAAAAATGAAAGTATGGTATGATAATTGTAATATGGATGTGAAAGAGGATTCCAAGGAGGAATGTCTCAGTGATTTGGTATCAAGGCGGTGGTAAAGTATGAATATGGATAGCGAAATCCACGACGTTCATCCTGATATTCTAATGATTACCAAGTCTCAAGTAGATATGAGTAAATCATGTCGTGAAAATAACAGGAGATTCTAGTCTATAGGGTATCACATGTAAGTTATAACGAACTAACTCCGGATGACAGATGAGGGTGTACACAAAATATTATAACTCGTAACACAGGTGAGTATAATTTGCTTTACCATATTAATCCCCTTGCTACTTTTCTTTTTAAATTTTATTGTTAGTGCAACGTGTTAGTACATTTATATATTAGAAAGACAAATAAAAAGAATTAATATATTTACATCATTATAAATAATAGTGGAAACTTATTTCGTAAAGTTAATGATTTAACTTTAAATACTATGATATATTTAAATAATGTATGAAAGAAATAATTATTTTTTAAATACAAACGTGANTTTTCGGTCTATTGGAGTATTCCGTGTTATTTTCTTGGTTTGTATGCTTGAAATTTATCTATATTATGAAATGTGTTTCTAATATTAAGTTGTGATTCAAGAACCATAAGAGTATTGTGTGGGCTTTGGCTTTGTGTGGAATTGGTTGACGTTGTTTGTATTTTCCTTTAACCTTTGTCGATGCCACAAATTTCTGGTTATGTGCTCTGTTATCTGTGGTTCTCCTCCTTAGAGCTATGTTCTCATGCTAGCTTGAGGTGTTCCAACCTTATTTCTATTGGTAATTTCATATTTCATTCTTGTGATTTTGGATTAGGGGCGATCTCTATTTTCCATGCACAAAACAGATGTTGATGTTTGATGGCATGCTTCCTCGTGTTATTTTACGAGAACATATTCCGGTCTTCGTAGGCTAGACGTTAATGATCTTTTTGGCTATTATTTTTCAGTCCGAAGTGCTGTGGCATTTTATTTTGTTTTCTGGACCGGTTGAAGAATATACAAGTATTTGTTTGTACTCATTATGAATTTATTTGTTTAAAGGACTGTTGATGCAATGATAAATCTGCCTATTCTGTTTTAATTTTAAATTGTCTGACTTTCCTGAATTCTTAATTGTTAATTGTTCGACTTTGTGTTTGATAATCAGGGGGCACCGCCTTGCACTCATTATACACAGCGTGGAGTTTGCAAATTTGGTTCTGCATGCAAATTTGATCATCCTATGGGATCACTTAGCTACAGTCCATCTGCCTCTTCCCTGGCTGACATGCCAGTTGCACCCTATCCTGTGGGTTCCTCAATCGGTACTCTTGCTCCGTCATCTTCATCCTCAGAGTTGCGGCCTGAACTTGGTGCAGGAGTCAGTAAGGAGTCTGTTTCGTCCAGAATGTCTTCAATGAGCACATCAACCGGATCAGTTGGTTTGACCTTGTCAAGCGTTGGACCCATTTCTCATTCAAGCACTCAACCATCTGCTCAGAGTTCCAGTTCTTCAGCAACTACCAGTGCTACCACAAGTAGCACTGTCTCTCACACCTCAAGCTAAGCAATGTGAATGAATTCCTCATTATCACTCCTTTTTATCTCAATTTTTCAACCGGCCATCATCACTCAAGGAGGTTCTCAAAATAGGTTTTATTTTTCAATTAATCCAGTTCCACATTCAGGTCTAGCACACACTTTCCCACCAATTGTCTGTGTCCATATAATCTTTCTGTGGCCATCCTTTTTATCTTGAATAAACCATGGCCAACCTTGAGAGTTTTAGCAACCCATACACGCACCTTGCTTTTGGATAACTTCAAAAGTATCTGCAACTCCATCATGCACATGTCCATTCACATCTCCAATTTTAGTAGTTTCTGGTGCTTATTTATGCTTCAATCTTTTTTGATGAGAAAAATTCTGCTCGGAGTTTCATTGACCATGTGTAATCCCTCTTCACATGAACCCCTTTTGCATTTGGGAATATATCCAAATCCTTTCCTGGAAGGTCCTGTTTGCCACCGTTCCCAAGTTATCCAAGGTTTGACGTGAAGAGTAGTAATCAGGAGACTACAATGAGGCTTCACATTGCTATCTTTTATGAATTTAGATACACGGTGATGTTGTGACAAGTAAAATGCTTGACTTGGTACTTAAGTTTATTACAGAATACATATATGAAGAAAGACATTTAAATTAACACATTTCAAAGTCCAATAATCTTTTTTTCACTGTCATTTTACCTGGTCGAGCTTTCCTGGGGGATCAGGTATCTTTCTGGCGGATTTCCTTTTGATCACCCCTCCCCCATTAGATTCGGATATGTTTATTGTAAGATGATTGTAGTTATCAATAGAATACACTTTAGTCGAGCTAACGAGCGCAGCGCAGCGTGGCACTTGACAGAACAACGCAGTTCAGAGTCCGATATAAGGTACACGTGTTCTTATTTCTTGGCCGCTTCAAAGTTGAAGGACAGGTGTACTGCACCTTCCCTGACCAACCGAACCGCCGTAACATTGAAAAAAACCTCAATTAATCAAATATGAAACTGGTCTCTTCAGAGTTTATTATCCTGTCTAAAGGGTGTTTTTTTGGGTGGTTCTGTTGGTAAAAGCTAGGTCAGCCTTTGAACTAGAATTAATGTCGTCCAATTATTTGTTTTAGAAAACTATGTTGTTTTTCCAATTTTTTAATCAAACTTGGTTTTTCCTTATTCTATTACGAAGGTATCTACTTGTACTCAGTATCTCTGTAATTGGATGGCAGGATTTTTATCAACGATACTGGACAACTAACAAGATGAAAAAAATTAATCAGATGGGAGTAGTTTTGATGGGGACTTCAAAGTATTTCTAATGGTCCCCTTTAGGGTTCTTATTAACAAAATATTATACGTATTCTGGGTTCTTCGAACATGAGTCCATTAAAATTGAGAAAACATATATTAAATAAACTTTTTAACTTTACAGAAAAATGTTTTCATTTTTTTATTAAATGTATTAAATAATGTTTTCATTAGTAAAAAAGTATTCGAAAAGAAAATAATGAAAAATACTGAGTGGGATAAGTATTTTTAATATGAGGACCAAATTGTCATAGCTCAATTGAAGCTCAATATTGAAGCCTTTTTCTTTCCTCAGTATCGAGTCATCCTTGTGTAGTTGTGCTTCCATTCTATTTTTCATTATGTTAAATGGTGCCTTTTTGGTATTATATTATGCACACAAAAATTCCATCCTTCTCTCTTTCTTATGGATTCAATTTGTGTTGTTTTTATAGATGTAATGATAAATATAAATGTACATTGACCCGTATTTTGTTTAAGTTTGTTTTTCTTGTATTTCTAAAGTTTTTTGTCATAGTATCAAAGCTTCCACAAGTGTTTTGAACTTCAAGAAGAGGTTTAACATAGTCAACAGGTAGTTTACAAGTTCAAATCAATGTGGGAGGAACTTGATCAGTTATCTCCATATTCATGTTGAATTAAGAGGTATCATCGACATGATCTCGTAATTCTCATTTTCGAAGGGTTTGATTTTTCTTTGTAGTTTGTTCTCAAATCCTACTCATGGATCTTCATGTTCAACTAAGAAGTATTATCAACGTGATTTAACAATTCGCCTCTTCAAAAGGCTTGATGTATGCTTATATGTTGTAATATATTTATAAAGGTAGTTGCCACTTACTTAAATACATGTATAAAATAATATTTAAACTTGAATTGATAATTATGATATGAAGGTTTAACACAACAAGAAAAATATATATTTTGTTAAGATGTGAAGGAAATCTTGTCAAAACGTAAAAGAAGATGTAAATATAAGAGATACAAACATAAGTTATAATTTACTATGAATGAAACAATAAAAATGTAAATATTAATTTAAATTATCCAACGAAGAAGAATAGATTGTGAAGGTAATATGTAACAATTATAATATTAATACGTGATTCATACACTTGTAAGAACCTAGGAAATATGGTAATAGAGTATAGAGAAGTATTAAAATAAAGAAAATGAGTTTTTTGGTGTTAAAATACATCAACAGTGTAAATAGGAATTTTTAAACACTCAGTTCATTATCTTAAAACTGTCTATTTCTCTAGAACCATTTTCTCTACTCTTCCTCTCTCTTTTCTCTAGATTTCTTCCATCTCACTCCAATTGTTCAACAATTAGATTGTGCTTAAACAATCCTAGTGTCAAGAGCTTCCATTACACCGATCAATTTCTTGTTTTAGAGCCGGTAAGTTGTCTCTCTTTGATTCTTGAAATTTCTACAATTTCTGGTGCATGCAAACACTGTTCGGTTTTCATGTGTTCATCGACTCTTCATCTTGGTTTTGATTTTTGTTTCTGGTTCGGTGGTTGGTTTCCTTTCACTGATCCAAAGTCTGTAGGCTGTCTTAGGATCACTGGTGGTTTAACAGAACTGTGAAGAAGTTGAAAATTTGTGAAGTTGCTTTGAGGTAAGGGAAGCTAGTTAATCTAATTATTTGGTTGATAATGTATGAAAATGATGTTTGATGGCTTTGCATGTGTGTGAAACTGAATGATTGTGTGTTCGGTATTATTATTGAAGACTATTAAGTGTTGTATTCATGTTGATTGTGATTCTGCATAATTCTGGTTCAGTGGCCGAGTGATATTGGGAGGAAGTGTGGTAGTAAAGATGGATAAATTGTGTTCGGTGTGAGTTTGGTCTGTATAATATAAATTGGGAGGATTAGAAGTTGGGAAGAATGAAGGAAATTGGTAAAGAGTAGTGTTGATCATAATTCTGCAGTCATTCTGCAGAATTATGCAGTTCGCTGAGGGTCCTTCGTTGACCGTTCGACTTTCTTCTTGTGTTTAACTAAGTTCTGCTTAGGTGGGACTTCAATTAATGATCGATCGGTCTTGTACTGGTAGTTGATTTAAAAGGCGTTCGGTCTAGTATTTGTATTGGTATTCGTTCTTAACTATGTTCGACCTCTCATGGATCTTACCTTTTAATGACCTTTCGGTTACTTTAGTGATCGGTCCTACCTGAGTATTTTGTCTAAGTCCAGAGTGTTAGGTCTTAGTGGGGTGTGTGGCCTCTTAGTAGCGATCGGTCTTAGTGGGGTGTGTGGCTTCTTAGTAGCGATCAGTCTTAGTGAGGTGTGTGGCCTCTTAGTAGCGATCGGTCTTGGTGGGGTGTGTGGTCTCTTAATATTATTAAGTCTTATACTAGTGCTAGGTCTTGTACTAGTGCTCGGTCTCATAAGAGTAATCGGTCTTATATTAGTATTCGGTATCAACTCTAAGCGTTCGGCCTAAGCTATAGGTGCTTGACCCTCTCTTCAGCTGTACCTAGTATTGAATGATCGGTCTCCAACATTCACAAGGTATTCGGTCTTATATTTATTCCAGTGTGCTATTTTAACTAATTGTTCTAATTGCTTTGATGACTTATGTAAGCATTATTATAATGGTGTAAAAATGAAAGTATGGTATGATAATTGTAATATGGATGTGAAAGAGGATTCCAAGGAGGAATGTCTCAGTGATTTGGTATCAAGGCGGTGGTAAAGTATGAATATGGATAGCGAAATCCACGACGTTCATCCTGATATTCTAATGATTACCAAGTCTCAAGTAGATATGAGTAAATCATGTCGTGAAAATAACAGGAGATTCTAGTCTATAGGGTATCACATGTAAGTTATAACGAACTAACTCCGGATGACAGATGAGGGTGTACACAAAATATTATAACTCGTAACACAGGTGAGTATAATTTGCTTTACCATATTAATCCCCTTGCTACTTTTCTTTTTAAATTTTATTGTTAGTGCAACGTGTTAGTACATTTATATATTAGAAAGACAAATAAAAAGAATTAATATATTTACATCATTATAAATAATAGTGGAAACTTATTTCGTAAAGTTAATGATTTAACTTTAAATACTATGATATATTTAAATAATGTATGAAAGAAATAATTATTTTTTAAATACAAACGTGAAACCTTATCTACTTTGTCATCTCCACACAAAAATACGCAATAGTTTATAATATAGTGTGTTATTGAAAGATATGATTGTTTTATAATTTATTTAATTAAAATGAACCTGCAATTACTTTTAATATTTAAACATTTTTCCATAATGGTAAAATATAATTTAAAATAAAATATAAATATAAATTCTATATAAAAAATGGGTACTTCTTTAATATATTGTTATAAATCACTTAATATCAATGATCTACAGTTCAGCATCAAATTTTGTAATTTTTTTTCCATAAAACTAATTTATATCAATCCAAGTTAAATTTTTTGATAAAGTATATGGGTTTTTTTAAAAAAGTATAAGCTAAAAAGTTAATAAAAAATGTCATCATACTATACCTTACTGTAGTGTTATTTAAAATATAAATAAATATCTGTTACTAAGTATTATATGTTTCTATGTTTTCTAAAAAATATACATGATTATTATCAAAATATCATGTTTTAAAATTTGACTAACATGAAAATTGCATATGATCAATAAAACTAATGATTTAGGTTCTTTTTATGTGGTTATTAAAAAACATCTAAAGAAAGTTGCCCCATTGCATAGATAATGTTTAGAGGTGTACATGTTTGCTGTGGTATTTCAAGTAGAGAACGTGAAACTCAACCCAAACACATTACTTTTGGATAAATGTATGCAAAATAAATTTCGGGATTAAAAATAAATTTAATTTATAAAACTTCTTTTACACAACTTTTTAAGATTTGTGTTTTTTGATTTATATATAAATAAATTTCTGCTCATGAAGAACAGTATACTTTTAGTTTTTTAGAGAAATTGATCCTAATAAAATGTCTACAATTTATTTGGTAAGTATTTTGTTATAATTTGATCGAAAAAGAAAATGGAAGTGATAAGATTTATTTGGGATCCTGGGTGTCCTGCTTGCCATGTTCCCATACCTAACGATGATATTGGTTAATAAAGCAGAGAAGTTTGATTTATGGTTTGAAAGTTAAACCTGTTTTAGAAGGTGATGAAAGAAAAGAGAAAAAGGAAGAGGAAAAGAAGGAAAAACAACTCATTATCTAATCAATCAATAGTCAGAAAAAGGGAATGTACTGCAAGCAATAGATTAGAATCGCGGGTTATTGGCTTCACAATATGTCTTTCTGTGAAGCTATATATGCTGTTTGATGGATATGCTTGTGC